GTCAACAATAGCACAAGCATACATACAATTACATATAATACTATTTTTGTCTTATACTGTACAACCCCTCTTCTTTTACAAAAAAATAATAAATTATATATATATATTTTTTTATTTATTTTTTTATTTTTTTATTTTTTTGCATGTTGTATCTTTAGTTTAAACCTAATATGTTTTAATCTTCTTTCTAGGAATTTCCCTTCAATTTAAGCAGGTTCCTCAGATTCTGAATTGAAACAAATGAAAACAACATCAAATCAATGTATTGTATTTGTAGATTGTGCTATTTACAAGTAAAGACTTAGCAATACATTTCATCTAATAATCCACTGGAACATAGAACTATAAAAAGATATTCCATATGGTATTAGACATTCTTGTGTTTAGCTAAATGTGATCTTCATGGACCAGTTTATATCTGTGGCTGACAGAAAATGAACTGTGACAGCACAGGCTGCATGGAAAGGGTTCTTACACCAAAAATGCAGTTGTTGTTTGGCCATTTGAACCACAAATGACTCCAGAAGGACACAGAGGATACTTTTTTAAAGGGAAAGTTGAGCCAAACATGAAAATTCCGTCATCATTTACTCGACCCTGTGTGGTTCCAAAACTGTATGATTTTTTTTTTCTTTGATGGAACACAAAAGAAGACATTCTGACAAATGTTTTTGAAGATCTGTTTTTGTCCATACGATTAAAGTCAGCGGGGTCCAAAACAACACTGGACCCCATTGACTTTCTTTTTATGGACAACAAAAACAAACAGACATTTTATAGAAAATATTTTCTTTTGTGTTCCACAGAAAAAAAAAGAAGAAATGGGACGTCTGATCAGCCTACAAAGGCTGTTTTTGCATGTCTACATCCAGGTAGATTCATTTCTACAAGAGCTTTGTGTTTTGCATTTAATTTTTTATACCCTAATTCATGGCCTCTTTTTGCTTCAGTCCACACAAGCATTTAATATCTCACATTGACGTCTGGGCACCTTATATAAGAAGGAATATCTGAGTTTTATGATCTGCTGAATTGCACTAGGCCCATTAGCATACATCAGAGCCGCAGTCTTATTAATCTGTGTGGAGAGAGAAATGGAAGAAAGAGAGGATAGGAGGACGGATAAATGCGTATGAGATTAGCACAGACTCCACAGATCTTTCGTTGCGAAGATCATATAGATGAACACACATACATACACACACACACACATGAATACACAACACCTCTGTGTCATCTCTTCATTGTGGCGATGAGATGTGAGGATGTGTGTATGTGTTAAGCCTCAGGGCGATTATTCTGTCAGGAGTGTTTCTCTGCTGCAGCCCATCCTGCCAGGAAGCAACTCTAAATCCACACTGATCGGTCCAAAGTCAAGATTTCACCATTCAACATATTCCCATCTCTTACAACACAGATCCAAGCACAGACGGCGAGATCTCGCTTTACTCGTCCTCCACACGCACACACGCTAAGCCTCCTCTACATGCTGCTGCGGGATAAGACTGCATGCCCTGTCATGCCCGATCACTGTGATTCTACCAACCCTGCCCAGCACAAAACTGGCACTGCCAACCATCAAGTGTGCTCTGTGTGTGTGCGAGCTTGAGTTTGTTTTTGTGTGAGAGTATAATTTGTGCATATGCAAGAAAAGAAAAAAAAAAGTGGTCTGGCAGACTTTAGGCCCATGTATCACCAAGCAAAATTTTGAGTTAAATATAATGGACTACTAAAAAGCTATAACGGGTCTCTCAGTAATGCCAAATCTACCCAAAGGATACTGAGAGCACTCTACCCCAATCACAGTAACATTTAATATAACTATATAATAAATATATATATATATAATTTTAAACACCTGGGCGTTTACATTTGGTTCTTGAACCATTGATCAAAATAATATATAATATCATAGTGATAGATATAGCATATGTATTACAGACACATTAAAGGCATTTAATTTTCCAAAAGTGACAGTAAAGACTGTAAAAAGACTTCTAAAAAATATTTTTTTCAAAATTCATCAAATAATCCAGAAAACAAAAGTATCACAGTTTCCACAATACTATCAAGCAGCACAACTGTTTTAAATATTTATAGCAGCAAATCAGCATATTAGAATGATTTCTGAAAGATCGTGTGACATTAAAGACTGGAGTAATGATGCTGAAAATTCAGCTTTACCATCACAAGAATAAATTGTATTTAAAAATATATGAAAATAAAAACAGTTATTTTAAATAGAAATAATATGTAACAATATCACTGTTTTTACTGTGCTTTTGTCAAATAAATTCAGCCTTGGTGAGCATTGTACAGTAGACTTATTTGTGAACCATAACTATGCATATGTATGTATATATATACACTTGTAAATTATGACAATTATTCCTTTATGCATTTGCTTTCATTTTGTGTCATGACAAAATATCTTGTACTTCATCAGATTTTGTCATGGTTCATTTCACAGATACACACCTGTGTGTCTATCTTATCTGTGCTTTCAGAGGAACAGCTCCTCTGATTACTGCTGTGCTCTCTTATAACAGAAACCGAGAGAATGTGTTTATGTAGGTGTGTACATGTATGACATTGGCATGTGTGGGTCTGAGTTCCACAGTTTTAACAACTTCCTCTCTTTCATAATGATTTTCTTTTAAAACAATCCTCAGTCACTTTCAGCGAACAAACACAATGTACAAACAGTTAGTTCATCCACAAATCACCCATTAATTCTCACTATTTCTTCATTTTCATGTTGTTCCAAGCCAAGATCATGCTCCTTTGAAAAAAAAAAAAAAATCTTCTTTTGTGTTCTGCAGAAGAATGACAGAACTGGCTGAACTATCGCTTACAAAAATAATTAGGTCATGTGTTTTTGGATACAATTGAAGGGAAAACCATAAAGAGAGTGAGCGAGAAAGAAAGAGAGAGAGGGATGACCTCTCCTCCCTGGGCCCCGCTGTACTATGACATCCCACATATCAGAATTCCTTATTTTAAGAGACTCAGACTTCTTTTCCTGTTTTGGTTTGATGTTTCTGCCCAGTATATCACCTAGTCCACCTCCCAACATAAAATGTTTTGAGTTTTACAGCTTCGAAGAAGACTTAAAAGCAATCACCCGTACATCTCTATGAGTAATAAAGAGCTAGAATTAAATTTCTGTCTGCTTTGCTTGTTGTCTTTTCTTGTCAGTCGTTAAAACATCTTTCAGTTGGGTTTTGGGGGGGGGTTCATAACCTGAAAGGAAATGATTATTGCTCAATGGTTACCTGAATACGGAATCTGGTGAGAAAGCCTGCTTAACAAGGCCAAAAAATAGAGTTTAGATGCAGGGAAATACAAAAACAACCCCACATAAAAAGTCCCCTTTCCCGTTTACCTGGAAAAGTGCACTGGGGCATGGCCTGAGCGCATTCCTGCAGGGTCCAATCGTGAATCTCCCTGAGGAATCTGAGCGGTTGGATCCTCTGAGACGACCTGCAGCCAACTCCTTGTAGACCCTCGTAAAGACAGGCCTGGGTGGTCAGGGCTCTCTCATCTCTCCTCCCTTTCTCTCTGCCCCCCTCTCACCTCTATCCATCACCTACAGGGGTGTGCAACATTAGACCTAAATCCATCAGCCAGTTCAGGGGCCAGTTTGGACCAGCCAAGGCCCTATGGGGGCCAAAATCTTACCTACAAGAAACCAGCACACACTCTAAAAAAATATGGTTCTTTAAAAGGTTCTTTACATGCAGTAATGGTTTTATTTAGAACCATAGCATTCTGAAGAACCCTTTCATGCTGAAATGGTTCTTTGTATTAGAGTTTAGGGTTCTTTATTCCCGTCCTTTTGTTTTTCAAATCTGTAACTGTTAAAGCTCCTCATTACTGATTTTCTGGAGTTCAGTGATCCAACTACAGACTGTCAACACACTCTCAACAGGTAAATGATTTCATTCTTAAAATTGAAATACAAATTTAACTTTAAAAATGTAACTGGTTTCCTAACAAACATGTTCTTATCTCTTTTTTTTTTTGTTTTTGTCACATATAAGTGTGTGCTGCTCTGCTAAGCTGTGGAAACGTCTCTCCTCTTCTCCACTAAGTAAGTAAAAGAGACAATTAATTTAGAATTCTTATTGTTAGCTTTTTTTAATTATTACTTGGGTTTATGTATAAACATACCCAGTCACAAAAAAATATTAAAACCATGACTTTATATCCCTTTTTTCTTTTAAGATTGTGAAGGGCTCACATACTGTCCATTTTTGCTTTTGGCCTTCATAAACATAATTGTTTTTACATAAACACATGGACACACTGTAACTCTAAACTCAATTGTGTATTTCAGATGTATCACATCCTACAACCTCATCTGCAGAGAAAAATTGCTACTTAATCACACCAAAATTATGGACTTAAAGGGGTCATATGATGCTGCTAAAAAGAACAGTATTTTGTGTATTTGGTGTAATGAAATGTGTTTATGCGGTTTAAGGTTCAAAAAACATTATTTTCCACATACTGTACATTATTGTTTCTCCTCTATGCCCCGCCTTTCTGAAACGCGTCGATTTTTACAAAACTCATCGTTCGTCCATTTTGTTAGATATTTTTCATTACTAGGGTTTATGCATAAGCATACCCTATCCCTTGACTTTATATTACTTTTTCCTTTTAACTTTATGAAGTGCTCACATACTACTTTTGGCCTTCATAAACAATTGTTTTCACATAAACAAATGAAAGGAGACATCATTAATGTATTCTGCTATTAACTGTTGTTTTTGCTACAATTTTATGTCATTAAAAAAAATAAAAGTACCTAATTGACACATTGTTGTTGTTGATTTTATGTAAAACCCTAATAGACACTTCAAGATATTATAAGACCAGGCAGATGGAGGGGTAAAAAACAATATTAATAAATAATGTATACAAATACGAATATTAATTATATTAACACTGATATTAATGAAAAACTATAATTAAAAAGGTTATTTATAACACCAATAAGGTCCTATATAGCATTTTCAAAGCATGGTTCTATATGGAACCCTATAAAAAAAAAGGTTCCATTTAGCACTAAAAAGGGTTCTGCAATTGTTACAAGCCGAAGAACCCTTTTCTGGTACTGTTTAGAACCATTTTTCTTAAGAGTGCATGACATGTAAATAAACCAACAGAGGAGACATAATTAGACCAAAGGGTGAGAGTTTAACTGGTTAGCATGGGCCAGTTAGCCTCTGCTGGTAGTTACTGTAACTTCACCATTCTGGAAGCAAAATAGCATGTTTCTACATTGACAACCATTGAAAAGTAGCTCTTTATAAATCTCAAATTTTGCAAATAATTCATTACTTCACACAGTGTCCTAACCAAACGCGACGCGTTTCGTCACATGATAAAAGATATCTTTTCTCTGTTAATCCGTTTTTGTCCTAACCAACCTGACAGTTTAAGTACTGACTGTGATTTGTAAAATATTAAAGTTCAGATTTAATTTTGTGTTACTTTTACAGCTATAATGAAAGGGACAGTGGTTAATTTAACTCAGATCTTGAAAATAACTTCAAGGGAACAAGAACGTTCAAACAGTAAACCGTGAACAAACACTTGTATGTATTAATGTAAAAAATTTTACATTTTAAAATATGTATTATTATTATTATTTATTTGATTATGCAGGCTACTTATCCATGTTGTTGTGACTATCAACAACTATTATTATTATTATTATTATTATTATTATTATTATTATTATTATTATTATTATTACTACTATTACTACTATTATTATTATTATTATTATTATTATTATTATTATTATTATTATTATTATTATTATTATTATTATTATTATTATTATTATTATTATTATTATTATTATTATTATTATTATTATTATTATTATTATTATTATTATTATTATTATTATTATTATTATTACTACTATTATTATTATTTAAAATGACCATTTATGCACACTCATGGCTTAATGGTTAGAGAGTCGGACTCGTAACCCAAAGGTTGTGGGTTCGAGTCTCGTACCGGCAGGGATTGTAGGTGGGAGGGAGTGAATGTACAGGCCTCTCTCCCACCTTCAGTAAATACCACGACTGAGGTGCCCTTGAGCAAGGCACCGAACCCCCAACTGCTCCCCGGGTGCCGCACCATAAATGGCTGCCCACTGCTCCGGGTGTGTGTTCACGGTGTGTGTGTTCACTGCTGTGTGTGTGCACTTTGGATGGGTAAATGCAGAGCACTAATTCAGAGTATGGGTCACCATACTTGGCCACATGTCACGTCACTTCACTTCACTTCACTTGTCACGTATGACACATAAGCATCAACATATTCATACCCTTTCAACATATTCTTTTTTTATGTCTGTTTTAAGTTCATCACACACACACACATTTATATGTATATATACATACATACAGTACATATAAAATGCATAAACTGCATAAATACACATGTATAAACTGCAATGCATTGACAAATGCAACATAAAAACAGGAATCTTAGGCTGAAGGCCCAAATATAAATCTCATAATATCCTTTAGCAAAGGATTCAATTTCAACCAGTGGGTCCTACATTCCTCTCAGAATAGTTAAGATAATCCCACTCTCTCTGTCCTGAGAAAATGAGCCCCATCTGACAGAGGGATTCATGAACTACTGTGTGTCAAAAACTGTCACCAACCCCATTAAAAATGAACCCTTGATTTCCACAGAAAACAGATCCCCTAGGTGTACACCCTGCAGAGAATTTCCCTGTATTCATGGAAAACAGTCCAGCTCTTACTAACTGAAAAACCACTCAGGCTCTTTGTCAGCATGAGATTTTGAGCGCACAGATGATGAAATGTGTTTCCTTTTTGGCCACACTACCTCTTTTCTGCCTCACTACCTCTTTTTGAGCACTCAGTAGTGACAGCGAGGGATCTGTCTAACGTGCTGACTGTGCTAAACTCCATCAAGGTGAGAGCAGTAGGTAAGATCAGGGGCGACTGATACAAATACCCAATTTGTTCAAATGACAAACAACTTTGATTATTCAATTTCCTTATTCTGCCAGAGAAAAACACATCTGGATACTTACCAGTTCCTCTTCTGTCATCTACTCAGCTCTCCGGGTCAATCTCCACCTGCAAAGACACTTATGTTAATGCTCAAGCTAAGTTATAGTGTGAACTTCATAACATAACAAACATTTATAAAATAAAAAAAAACTATAGAAATTAAAACAATTAAATATAACAATATATATATAACAACACACACACAGCCAAAAGTTTGAAATAATTGTAAAAAGGAAAGTTACAAATATATTGTGAAATATTATTACAATTACAGTAATTAGAAGCCATTATTCCAGTTTTCAGTATCACATGATCCTTCAGAAATCATTTTAATATACTGATCTGGTGCTCAAATAAAACATTTATCAATGTTGAAAACTGTTTTTGCTGGTTAACGTTTTTGTGTAAAGGTTTGGGAAAGTTTTTTTCAAAATAAGAAATTAATACTTTTATTCAGCAATGATGCATTAAATTGATCAAAACTATCAGTAAGGCAGTAAGTAAGTTTGAATAAATTGTAACGAATCAGTCCACTGAAGGCGAGTGTAGTGAAGAACCCAAGTGCAGTTTATTTACAGAGTGATCCAAACATCCAAACAATAATCCGAGACTTGACTTGACATGAACAGACTTGACTTAACTTGACGAGGCATGAAACAGACTTGACATGAACAGACTCGACGTGGCATGAACAGACTCGACTCACCGACAGCAGGTTACAACATCAATACACAACGAGAGACAATGGCAACATGATGGCTACTTATATCAGACAAAGAGGGTCACATGACAAGAACAAACCAATAGGAAACAAGACACATGACTAAGACAACTAATCAGAACATGACACAAAGAACAGAGGAACCAATGGCATGAAGACAAGAGGGCAAGGGAAGCATGACACTAACAGCATGAAATAATTCCAAAATAAAAGACATGAGAACATGACACAAAAACAAGACCCAAACCCCACATTACATAAATGCTGTAAATTGAACTTTCTCTTCATCAAAGAATTTTGAAAAAATGTATTATGGTTTCCATAAAAATGTTAATCAGCAAAAACTGATACAAATTGACAATAATAAGAAACATTAACAAAAACTGAGCACTAATATATATAATTAATAATGCCTGAACATCATATCTGCATATTGAATGATTTGTGAAAGATCATGTGACACTGAAGAATGGAGTAATGATGCTGAAAAATCAGCTTTGCATCAAAGGAATGAATTACATTTTAAACTATATTCACAATATTACAAGTTTTTGTTTGTTTGTTTAATAATTGTATTTGGTTTCACTTTATTTTAATGGTCCCTTTAACACATTCTGTTGACTATAAGTAGCGTTGCACCTACATGTCTATTAACTCTCATTAGAGTATTAGTAGAGTATTAGTAGACTGGTAGGGTTAGGGTTAGAATAAGTTGGCATGTATTTGCAAAGTTACTTATAGTCAGTAGAATGTCTGTTGGGAGACCATGACAATAAAGAGTTAGCAGATATTAGCAAACAGTCTACTAATACTCTGATGAGAGTCGGTAGACATGTAGGTGCAACATTACTTATTGTCAACAGAATGTTCAAAAGCGACCATCAAAATAAAGTGTTACCTTTTATTTTAAAACATTTAAATAAATGTAGCCACAAATGTCACAGTTCCCTGAAACTGAAAATTCAATCAAGATCTTTTTATGAAGAACACACTGGGAGTATTTCCTGTAGTTGTTGCCCTCTCTTGCCCTCTCACCTTATCCCGAACCGAGCTTCACCCTTCTCCACATTACTCCACCCAGAGCCCCGGCCCAGCCCAAACAGACGCCCATGAACCCACCCTACACAGAGAGACAGACAAACACACAGACACTCACACAACCACAAAGAAACAAACAGAGCTGGGGGCAGACGGCTCGTGACCCGCAGACATGAACACACAGACTCTGTGTTCTCCACACTCTGGTGGGTGTGTGTACAGTACTCCCCAATTCCACATAGTTTCCCGTTCTCACAGGAAGGGACTGTGGGAACCACGCTGTCACTTCCTGTGTCCGTGGGCCTCAACCAATCACCATCAGATAAGGACCAGCTCCCAGCCAATCACAAACACCCATGACAGGACGCCAATAGCGATAAGTGTTACGCAGCCCGGAGAGAAATGTCTTGATCTCGAATTCCCTTGTTTCCCACCAAAAATAGTTGTTTGGAGACAAGGTAGTTTTTGTTTCGGCATAATTCGAGTCTCTTTCATCTCGTCGTCTGTTCCTCTCGACCTGCGACCCCCAGGATATCCCACTCTTCAGTGTCCCATAATGTGGCATTTAGAGAGGATGAAGAGGGGCATTCAGGCCTGAGCGGACAGGAGTGAGAGGACGAGAGAGAGCCCTATCACTCCATCATTCCCTCGACGGGCTCAACACCCCCAGTTCAGGCTGCAGAGTCAGATCAAAGCCTGCAGAGCTCAAAGCGGCCCAGTGACACGTATTAACTGAGCTCAGGCTGTCCCACTCATGCGCTCGGCCCGCTAGATTGAGCAGCGTATGTGCACGTGCAAACACACACACACCATTTATGCCGACACATAAGCACTCACTCATTTTAGTGATGTAATATCACATGAACGAAAGTCCATTTTTGGACTCCTTAAGGCCCGTTCACACAAAGAATGATAACTACATTAAGTGTTGTCAACACCAACGAATGGTATCCATGGGCATAGCTGGTCCCCTCACAAACTACGCCCATGGAAACCCACTGAAAAATATTTTCGACTCAAAAGTAAATATGCACATAATGTAGTTATTTTAATGCATTTTAAATTATTTTCTAAACAAAACAAGTATAACAATATATAAAATCAAACTTACTAATGGCTTCCCCAATCTCATTTGCGTAAGAAGTTGTCGCGTGACCATTTACATCCAAATGTTATTTAATTTACACAGAACTAAACCTAGACATTTCAGAACATAAACTGCTCAATCGGCCATTTTCAGTAAGATTGACTAAATATGAAGTGTTTGTGTGCCTGCTTTTGTGCGTTTAACTTGAATCATGTCCAACAGATATCTATTTTAAAGCAGTGGGTAATTCAATCAATGTTTTGCTTATTAAAAGTCTGCTTTGCGATTCTGTTGACAAACATGTTTATAGTGCATTATATTCAACGTGTTTATTGCTAGCACAGCAAAAATAGCGCAGCCTTTACGAGTAATTCGTGTGCAATGTATCTGCACTTGCTGCTGTTCTGTGTAATCATAGTAAAATCACTTAAATGGTACACGGAGTGTGAATTTGTAGGTTTACTATAGAAATGTTCAAATGTATTTAAAAGTTTGACTGACCAAATCGACTGGCTTGGTTTGCAGCACCCGCAAGTTCAATGCTGATCTAAACCTGTATGACTGACTTTCATCAATGGAAAACACATAAGATTGATATTTTGAAAAATGTTTCACCTGTTTTTGTCCATACAGTGAAAGCTGATGGGGTCCAGAACAACCTGAATGGAAACAAAGTTTGCGAAGATTTTCTGTGAATTATTACTTAAATTTTCACCCGTTCTTCACACAAAGCTATTTTGTGGTTTCATAAGAACTGCAACACAGAGCATGAACTGTATGGACTATTTTTTATTGTATTTTTTTTTTTTCATTTTTAATCTTTTCTAGAGCTTAACCAAAGCGCTAATGTGGGTTGGTAAGTCACTCTCCGGCCTTATGGATCTCTCACATAATCTTTACATAATTATTACTTATTGTCAACAGAATGTTCAAAAGCGACCATCAAAATAAAGTGTTACCTTTTATTTTAAAACATTTAAATAAATGTAGCCACAAATGTCACAGTTCCCTGAAACTGAAAATTCAATCAAGATCTTTTTATGAAGAACACACTGGGAGTATTTCCTGTAGTTGTTGCCCTCTCTTGCCCTCTCACCTTATCCCGAACCGAGCTTCACCCTTCTCCACATTACTCCACCCAGAGCCCCGGCCCAGCCCAAACAGACGCCCATGAACCCACCCTACACAGAGAGACAGACAAACACACAGACACTCACACAACCACAAAGAAACAAACAGAGCTGGGGGCAGACGGCTCGTGACCCGCAGACATGAACACACAGACTCTGTGTTCTCCACACTCTGGTGGGTGTGTGTACAGTACTCCCCAATTCCACATAGTTTCCCGTTCTCACAGGAAGGGACTGTGGGAACCACGCTGTCACTTCCTCTGTCCGTGGGCCTCAACCAATCACCATCAGATAAGGACCAGCTCCCAGCCAATCACAAACACCCATGACAGGACGCCAATAGCGATAAGTGTTACGCAGCCCGGAGAGAAATGTCTTGATCTCGAATTCCCTTGTTTCCCACCAAAAATAGTTGTTTGGAGACAAGGTAGTTTTTGTTTCGGCATAATTCGAGTCTCTTTCATCTCGTCGTCTGTTCCTCTCGACCTGCGACCCCCAGGATATCCCACTCTTCAGTGTCCCATAATGTGGCATTTAGAGAGGATGAAGAGGGGCATTCAGGCCTGAGCGGACAGGAGTGAGAGGACGAGAGAGAGCCCTATCACTCCATCATTCCCTCGACGGGCTCAACACCCCCAGTTCAGGCTGCAGAGTCAGATCAAAGCCTGCAGAGCTCAAAGCGGCCCAGTGACACGTATTAACTGAGCTCAGGCTGTCCCACTCATGCGCTCGGCCCGCTAGATTGAGCAGCGTATGTGCACGTGCAAACACACACACACCATTTATGCCGACACATAAGCACTCACTCATTTTAGTGATGTAATATCACATGAACGAAAGTCCATTTTTGGACTCCTTAAGGCCCGTTCACACAAAGAATGATAACTACATTAAGTGTTGTCAACACCAACGAATGGTATCCATGGGCATAGCTGGTCCCCTCACAAACTACGCCCATGGAAACCCACTGAAAAATATTTTCGACTCAAAAGTAAATATGCACATAATGTAGTTATTTTAATGCATTTTAAATTATTTTCTAAACAAAACAAGTATAACAATATATAAAATCAAACTTACTAATGGCTTCCCCAATCTCATTTGCGTAAGAAGTTGTCGCGTGACCATTTACATCCAAATGTTATTTAATTTACACAGAACTAAACCTAGACATTTCAGAACATAAACTGCTCAATCGGCCATTTTCAGTAAGATTGACTAAATATGAAGTGTTTGTGTGCCTGCTTTTGTGCGTTTAACTTGAATCATGTCCAACAGATATCTATTTTAAAGCAGTGGGTAATTCAATCAATGTTTTGCTTATTAAAAGTCTGCTTTGCGATTCTGTTGACAAACATGTTTATAGTGCATTATATTCAACGTGTTTATTGCTAGCACAGCAAAAATAGCGCAGCCTTTACGAGTAATTCGTGTGCAATGTATCTGCACTTGCTGCTGTTCTGTGTAATCATAGTAAAATCACTTAAATGGTACACGGAGTGTGAATTTGTAGGTTTACTATAGAAATGTTCAAATGTATTTAAAAGTTTGACTGACCAAATCGACTGGCTTGGTTTGCAGCACCCGCAAGTTCAATGCTGATCTAAACCTGTATGACTGACTTTCATCAATGGAAAACACATAAGATTGATATTTTGAAAAATGTTTCACCTGTTTTTGTCCATACAGTGAAAGCTGATGGGGTCCAGAACAACCTGAATGGAAACAAAGTTTGCGAAGATTTTCTGTGAA